GAGTGGGCTCCAGGTTGGGCCTTCCGAAGTTACTCCCAGAAACAGACTGTCAAACAGGCCCTCCAGGGGAGGGAACCACTGGCATTGCTGAGTTCCAGATGGCATTGCTCGCTGCAATTCAGGGGTCAAGAAATTGCTACCCCGAAACTGCCCCTCAGCATCCACCAACTAGAGATGGACGGCTGCCTCCACCCAACTTGTCTCTTGACAGCCACGAAGCCCCGGGCTGGTGTGCTGCTGACGAGCCCAGCGTTTCCACAGACCTGCTTGCCAGCATTTCCAGCCCAAACAGCAGAAAGATGTTTCCGCCTCATTTCTGCCTTCCAAATCTCACTGCAGAGTCTCTGAGAGATGGACCCCATTTCACCTGGGGAAACTTAAAGGAGTCTGGGAAATGTACTTTTTAATTTTCCAGAAAGAAGTTAGAAAGGATTAACATACAGATCTACTCTAATATCTTCTAGGGTGGAACTTGGTGGTTGCCCCTAAAAATGCTATTTCATTACAGGGTAAAACTGTTTAGGGCACAGATTAGGCTCTAGAAATCAGTTCCCCTAAAACAGCGGTTCTCAACCTGTGGGCCGCGACTCCTTTGGCGGTCGAACGACCCTTTCACAGGGGTCACCTAAGACCATCCTGCATATCAGATATTTACATTACAATTAATAACAGTAGCAACATTACAGTTATGAAGTAGCAACGAAAATAATTTTATGGTTGGGTCACAACATGAGGAACTGTATTTAAAGGGCCAGAAGGTTGAGAACCACTGCCCTAAAAAATCACAATTAACTTCTGCTTGTTACTGTAAAGACCCAGTACACTACGCAGTACTAGTTAGTGTGTTCTTAAGTACTGTTGTAGAAATAGTGAAGCTAAAGTGATCAGAGCAAATACCCTTTGCTCAGTGCCCTCTGAGCTCACTGGGGCCAGGAGATAGATGAGTTTTTAGTGCAGCAAGGAGTTGTTCTTAAAAATTATTTATTTCGTTTCCCCAACGACAAAATCCTAGCTTTGCTTCAGTTTGATCCTGACAGGTATTTCTTAAAATCCTTTTCATAGCCACTTCTACTCTTTACTGTACTTTGTATTGTGTGTTCACCATCCCAAGTCAGGCTTGCAACACCATTTATCCTCCTATACCCTCTTCTGCCTCGCCCACTCCCCTTTCCCTCTGGTGATCACCATACTGTTGTCTGTGTATATGAGGGTATTTTTGTTTTTATTTTTATTTTCATTTTTGTTAACCCTCGCCTGAGGATATTTTTCCATTGATATTTTTAGGGAGAGTGGAAGAGAAAGGGAAAGACAGAGAGAAACATCGATGTGAGAGAAACACATTGATTGGTTGCCTCCTGCACGAGCCCCAACCAGGGCCCTGGCTGGGGAGGAGCCTGCAACCAAGGTACTTGCCCTTGACCGGAATCGAACCCAGGACCCTTTGGTCCACAGGACGACACTCTATCTACTGAGCAAAACCAGCTAGCTCGAGGTTATTTATTTGTTTATCCTCCTATATAATAAAAGCCCAATATGCAAATTGTCCCCTTGGGTGGTCGTTTAACCGGGAGTTCAACCGCTCACTATGATGTGCACTGACCACCAGGGGGCGGCATGGAACATGGCGGGCATTGGCAATGTGGTGCTGGCAGCAGGTGGCAGTGGAGGTGACGCTGCCGGCCCCAATGGGCCCCGCGGCAGGATGGTGGACCAGGTGAGCAGGTGGCACCAGGTCAAGGTGGGTGTGAGCAGGGGCCCGATTGCCCTGCTGATCGCCCCACAGATGGTGACCAGCGGCTGGCAGGCCCTGATTGCCCGGATCAGGGCCGGACCCTGGGCTGGGACAGGGAACTGGGGGTGGGTGGCAGCGACCAACCTCCCTCTCACCAGCTACCTGAGGGCAGGGGTGAGAGGGAGGGAGGTGCGGTGAGAATGTGGGGTGTCCGCTGAGCTTGCTCTCACTCCCCCTGCTACCCTCCCCTGGGACGCCAGGGCTCGTGCACGAGGGAAGCCTCCACGCTCAGTGCCGGGTGCCCGTGAGGAGCCTGCCCCTCTTCTGGGTGAGCTGGGCTGCAGTCGTGTGGCGTCACTGGGTGGCTCAGAGGCCCATGCTGTGCCCTGGTCCGTGGTGTCTGGCTGCGCTCACCGCATCCCTGTGTGGGGACTCAGCTTCTGTGACTCAGGCGGAGGGGTCGTGCGGGGTCCAGGGGCCTAGGTGCTGCCCAGGGCCCAGAGGTCAGCTGGAATCTGCCCTTCCATGCCAGATGCTCGCGTTTCAATCGCTGACCAGGCCTAGGGACTTCATCCGTGCATGAATTTCGTGCACTGGGCCTCTAGTTTATTTATAAATACATTTTTTTTTTTTTTTAATTTCAGAGAGAAAGGAAGAGAGAGAGAGAAACATCAGTGATCCTCTCCCCACACTAGAGGTTGAGCCCGCAACCTAGGCATATGCCCTGACCAGGAATGGAACTGTGACCTCCTGGTTCATAAGGTCGATTCAACCACTGAGCCACACTGACTGGGCAGTAATTTTAGTTTTTAGAGAATTTTTATGAGTTTTTTGAGCCAAACATGACATATGCCAGGGAGCAAGATCTCAGATGCTCCAAAGAATAACAGTTTTGCAGCTTCTTTTATGCATTTGAAATTAAGGAGGTAGGAAAAGGTATGGCAGGGGTTGGATTACCACCAGGTTGTTTTGTGTGTGTGTTTTTTATTATTTTAGAGGAAGGGAGAGAGAGAAGCATCAATGATGAGAGAGAATCATTGGTCAGCTGCCTCCTGCATGTCCCCTACTGGGGATCAAGCCCACAACTGGGAATGTGTCCTGACCAGGAATTGAACCCTGACCTCCTGGTTCATGGGTCGATACTCAACCACTGAGCCACACAGGCCAGGCAGGGTTTTTTCCCCCCACTTAAAACATATATTTTTTATTGATTTTAAAGAGGAAGGGAGAGGAAGAGAGAGAAACATCAGTGATGAGAGAGAATAATTGATCGGTTGCCTCCTATATGCCCCCCTACTGGGGATTGAGCCTACACCCTAGGCATGTGCCCTGACCAGGAATCCTGGTTTATAGGTGGACCTTCAAGCACTGAGCCACACCAGCCAGGCTCCATTTTTAATTTTCTGAGGTTACTCCATATGGCTTTCCACAGTGGCTGCACCAATCTGCATTCTCACCAACAGTACACGAGGGTTCCCTTTTCTCCACACCCTTGCCAACACTTGTTTGTTTATTGATGAAAGCCATTCTGAAAGGTGTGAGGTGATACCTCATTGTGGTTTTAATTTGTATTTCCCTGGTGATTAGTGACGTTGAGCATCTTTTCATGTATCTATTGGCCATCTGTATGTTTTCTTTGCAGAAATGTCTATTCTGGTCCTTTGCCCATTTTTAATTGGTTTGTTTGATTTTCTGGTGTTGAATTTTTAAGTTCTTTATAAATTTTGGGTATTAATCCCTTATCATATGTGTCATTGGCAAATATGTTCTCCCATTCAGTGGGTTACCTTTTCATTTTGTTGATGGTTTCCTTTGCTGTGCCAAAAACTTTTTAGTTTGATGTATCAAGAATTTTTTTATAAACCTCTAGGTCAGCAGTGTTTTGAATGATTTGAATTGCCAGAATTCAGACCTCAAGAGTGGGTAGTTGATGCATATGTTTTCTTCTTTTTTTAAAATATGTTTTAATTGATTTTTAAAGAGACTGGAAAGGAGAGGGTTAGAGAGATAGAAACATCAATGAGAGAGAAACCTCATGGATCAGCTACCTCCTGCACACCCCCACTGGGGATTGAGCTCACAACCTGGGCACATGCTGGACTGGGAAGTGAACTGGCGACCTCTTTTTTTTTTTTTTTAATATATTTTTATTGATTTCAGAGAGGAAGACAAGAGAGAGAAAGAGAGAGTGATAGAAACATCAGTGATGAGAGAGAATCATTGCTAGACTGTCTCCAGCATGCCCTCTACTGGGGATCGAGCCCACAACTCAGGCATGTGCCCTGACCTGGTTCATAGGTTGATGCTCAACCACTGAACCATCCCACCAGGCAGTCAAAATTATTTTGGTGGTAATTCTTAGCTTAAATGATTGAAGTTTTCTATAGCAAGACTTGTTGCAGCTGCTGTTAAAAATTGTGGTATGTGCCCTAGCCGGTTAGGCTCAGTGGATAGAGTGTTGGCCTGCAGACTGAAGGGTCCCTGGGTTCGATTCTGGTCAAGGGCATATGCTCCTGTTGCAGGCTGGATCCCCAGAAGGGGGCGTGCAGGAGGCAGCCGATCAATGCTTCTCCCTCATCATTGATGTTTGTATTTCTTTCTCCCTCTCCCTTCCTCTCTGAAATCAATAAAAAAATATTTTTAGAAAAACACACTTTAACTTTTAAAAACAATTGTGGTATACTCTGGTGTAATCTGGCAAATCAGATTAAGAGTTATGAAAGATTTGGGTGACTGCAATGGGGCTTTCTGAACATATGTAGTAGGATTCTTTCCCCACTTCTCTCTTAACCTTACAGTTTTTAAGTAACATTGAATTTTTCAAGTTGAGTCTTGAATGCTATTCTGTTTGTTTTTTTTGCAAACCATATGGATGCTACTTGCTGGAAAAGGGTAATAGGACATATGTTGCTGTCTTGGTGTCTCATTTGCTGGCCTGTCTTTGACTAGCTGTTGTCTTAAGAAGTTTATTTTATTATCATAGTTAAAAAGTATGTTTGCTTTCAATTTACCATAATATATTTTTAATATTGGAAACCTCCTCTTGCAGATTTAAATATTAAGGTTCAGGTAATAAGTTATTTCTTTATTTATACATTTCCACTCACTAATAATCTGCGCCAGAGTATCTGGTTTTACATGCTAAAAAATGATACGTTATAAATGCTCGCATGTAATTTATTTAAATAAATATTTATTATGTACCTTAGCAGATGTTTATGTCTTTTATTACAAAAATACATTATAAATAGTTATTTTCTCTCTACAGGACAATCCTTCCTTCACACACACTGTGTTTGACTTGGAACCTTCCCATTTTTACTCTACTCAGTTGACGTAGCAGGGTTTTAGAGCAGCATTTGTAAATTTCCAGGTATGAAAAATTTTAATTCTTGATATTATACCTAACTTAAATACATAGATAAAAAGTATAACTTTGCAATGGTAGATTTTATGTATATGAGAGGGGATTTATTGCTTGAAAGGTCACTGTATAAAACATTCAACATGGATCTTCTTGGCCAGTTCTCCCTGTTCACCTATTGCTAAAATTTTAATTCGTTGCCTCTGTTGTGTCTTCTGTTCCATTTTAATCAAAGACTCATATTACATATGACCAGAGATTATCTAGACCAATCCCCCCAATTTGCAGAGAAGGAAATTAAGCCTAGAAAGGTAAAGTTATTTCTCATGACATATAGCTAATTCAGTGATAGAACTATTGTCAGCACTCTGATCTCCCAGCACCCCCTTTCCACCTCATTCCCCACCCCCGGGTGCTGTAGTAGTATAGTTCAGTAGTTATAGGCTGCAACTTTGGAGTCACTGTCTGGGTTAATACCCTTTTCTGTAAAATGGGGATAGTCACCCACTTATTAGTTTGGGGACAAAAGGAGACAATGCATATCGCTACTATTATTGCCTGTGGCCCTTTAATTTTCCCTGTATTGACCCCTTCACTGCTTCTTGAAACTCCCCACCTTGGGCAAGGTGTTACAGTGTTCTGATTCTCCCTGCAGTGCTATCTGTAATACTGGCTCTCTTCCCCATCCTGCTCTGCAGTCACGGGCAATCCACCAGGTTCTCCTCTCAGCCTGAGTTTCCTCTGAGCCCCTTATCTCTATTTGCAGACATCTCCTACATCTCTGTCTTCAAGTCTGACTTCTCTGGACTTCTGGTCAGCATTTTCTGGCCATCGTTACCTGATTTCCCACTCTCCTCTAACACAGTATACTTACAACCAAGGTCATTGCCTCTAAACCAGTTTTTCCCTCCAATCAGCCATTAAGACCTATAGATTTATTTCCCATTCAAGTATTTAGCAACTTTTCCTTCCTTTCCATTCCTGCTGTCACAGTCAGTTCTGGATCTGCCAAGGAAGTGCCACTTCTGTCAGAGGTGGGAAGTCCAAAGGATGGGAAGGCTACTGCAGTCCAGAATCACCCCAACCTTGCAGCCACCACACCAACAGCCAGCAGTTGCTGCATTTCCACTGCCCAAAGCAGGAAATTTCTTTTCCTTTTTCTAATCTTCTGTCAGTTCCTTCTGTTGATAGAGTCTAACAGGAAGCCAGCTGCAAGGAAGGAAGCCTGGGAAATATTGTTTGCAGAATTCTATCAGTAGTGAGTAGAGCAGAGCATGAAGGATGTTGAGCTGAGAGACAACAGGCAAATGACCAACATAGTCCACCACTTTGGCTACTTGGCATCCACACACACCGCTCTTCCCATATTTAAAATTCTAAACAAGTTTACTAGTCTGCCTTACAATATGCAGCTTTCCTTCATACAGAGACTCATGGTCTCCCCAAAATGGGTGATCCTAATTCTTCTTTTAGGTCAGTCACAATCTAACTTAATGGAACCATGCGATGTTTCCCTGGTGAGGCGTTCCCATCTTGGGAGCTAAGACCTCCGCAGGGAGAGGAAGCAAACATTCTGTAAGTGGGTTATTAAAGGTACAAGTAAAAGGAGGAGCCACCACTTTTTTCCTAGAAGTGAGTATTCTATCTATGGAAAAAATAGCATCATATTAATGATGGTGTTTAAAAGCACCAGTGGTACATTAGTAACACTTCATCCATTTGGATAGCACCTCAGTCTCTCAGGGTGTCACCTATCAGATGGGGCCAGGATGGAATTTTCAGTTGGTTATTCCACCATTTTATCAGGCAAGCTGCTTCTGGATGATGGAGTGCGTGGCAAGCTTCATGGTGACTAGGGAAAGAGGCCAGCCAGCGTCCACAGCACAGGTCTTCTTGTCCACCTGGTTTCTGAGAGCTCCTCAGCAGCTAGTACCCTTTATTCAGCATTCATACAGGACACTAAAACCTCTTACCTGTGCCCATTCCAACAGGTATATCCATCTACCTTTTCTTCACATGCCTTTCAGTGACTGACGCTTCTATCTGGTTCTTTCTAAATCCTTGAGCATTTGATCAACTGGTTAGGCCTTGCCCATGAATCAGGATAAAATCCATACCTGTGTCTATCTCTTTGTCCAGGCCAAGTGGACAGCCAGATGCCCAATGGGGATATTTCCCTCCCCATTGCCTTTCAGGGACATTCCTGATTGGAGTCATGATGTTGCAGCCATCCACCTCCAGCTGGTGCCAGCATATTGTGCAGAACCTCTAAACGAGGCCTTGACTCTTTCTTCCTCAGTCAGCCAGTTGCAGGGAACTCACCATGGGGCCATATGTGTGAGTTGAGGAAGGCAGCAATGTACTGGGAGGAGGTGTGTGGGAACTGTGCCTGCTGCTCGCAAACTTATTTGTGGATTAAGGACCTGTCCAGTCTAATCTTGTACCTACCACGTCCTCTTGATGATGGAGTGCTGCTGCACGTGCCCAAATGTATAATTCGGTACGTTAGTAACACTCACGTTAGGCAACTCAGGCATGGCCACTTGGTGTTCCATGGTCAGCATCAAGCTCTAAGAGAGCCTGGTAGCATTTGAAAAGCTCTTTTTCAAAAGGACAATAGCTGGAGGGGTGCGATGATTAATTTTTTGTGACCACTCAGCTGGCCTGCAGTGTATAGGGGAGCTGGAATTCCAAATCAAGCTACCTGGCTCTATTGTCTATGTTTATAACTATAAGCTTGTCTATATCAACTTTTATCTCTTTGACTCTTTTAAAAAAATTTAAAAAATTGATTTCAGAGAGGAAGGGAGAGGGAGAGAGAGAGAGAAACATCATTAATGAGAGAGAATCACTGATTGGCTGCTCCCTGCACACCTCAAACTGGGGATCGAACTTGCAACCCAGGCATCCGGGAATCAAACCGTGACCTCCTGGTTCATAGGTCTACGCTCAACCACTGAGCCACACCGGCCGGGCATCTTTGACCATTTTTAACCTACAGTCTAGTCTGAAACCTATATTCTTTGTGTCTTGGAGACTATTCTCTAAGACGGAAGTGGTTTTCATGGGAAAAAGAGAGAGGTTTCTGATTGTAATTTCAGTTGACTCATTGTAGAAAAACAGTGTGATTTTGTGTTTGCTAACCACATGTGTCTTCTCTCTTCAGCATGGAGATCTCCTCTCATCAGTCTCAACTCCTGCAACAACTGAACGAGCAGCGCCGGCAGGACGTGTTTTGTGATTGCAGTATTCTCGTTGAAGGGAAGGTCTTCAAAGCACATCGAAATGTATTATTTGCTAGTAGCGGCTACTTTAAAATGCTTCTTTCCCAGAATTCAAAGGAGACAAGTCAGCCGACCACAGCAACGTTTCAGGCTTTCTCCCCTGACACTTTTACAGTCATCCTAGACTTTGTCTATTCCGGCAAACTCTCGCTGACTGGTCAGAATGTCATAGAAGTGATGTCAGCTGCTAGCTTCCTCCAGATGACGGATGTCATTAGTGTATGTAAGACCTTCATTAAATCTTCGTTAGACATCAGCGAGAAAGAGAAAGACCGCTACTTCAGTCTCTCCGATAAAGGTGCCAGTTCTAATGGCATAGAACGTTCCTCTTTTTATAGCGGTGGCTGGCAAGAAGGGAGCAGTTCTCCACGCTCTCACCTAAGCCCAGATCAAGGAACAGGTGTAATAAGCGGGAAATCTTGGAATAAGTATAATTACCATCCAACTTCCCAAAGGAATACTCAGCAACCCTTGGCCAAGCAAGAACCAAGGAAAGATCCCATTAGAAAGCCCAGACATTTGAGATTGTCACAGCCTTCTGAAATTGCTCATTGTAAGTCAAGCAAGCGAGAAGCACGGACATCTGATTCTTCCAGCCACATTTCCCAATCTGAAGAGCAAGCACAAATTGACGCTGAAATGGACTCTGCTGCTGTTGGCTATCAGTACGGTCAAGGCTCTGACGTCACCTCAAGAAGTTTCCCAGGTACCCAAAAGGAGAATCTGTTCCCTCACTCAGGCTCCAATTCTATAGAAATGAAGCCTATCTCAACATACTCGTACTTTTAGGTGTTCTAGGCAGTTGAACTAAGTGAATTTAAAAATACACATATTTTTATTGAACTCAGAGAGGAAGGTAGAGAGAGATAACATCAATAATGCGAGAGAATCATTGATTGGCTGCTTCCTGCATGCCCCTACTGGGGATCGCTGAGCCACGTTGGCCAGGCTACCCCTAACCTCTCTTTATTATTTTTAAGCAAATTTCAGACATCATATGTTTTAATCTGTAAATATTTCAGAATGTATTCCTAAAATATAGAATTAAACCACACTCCAGTACCATTGCTATACCTAAACAAAGTTAACAAATTCTTTTTTTTTTTTTTTTTAATATATTTTATTGATTTTTTACAGAGAGGAAGGGAGAGAGATAGAGAGTTAGAAACATCAATGAGAGAGAAACATCGATCAGCTGCCTCCTGCACATCTCCTACTGGGGATGTGCCCGCAACCCAGGTACATGCCCTTGACCGGAATCGAACCTGGGACCTTCCAGTCCCCAGGCTGACGCTCTATCCACTGAGCCAAACCGGCTTCGGCAACAAATTCTTAATATCACTAACTAGCCTGTCAATATTCCCATTTCCCTTGTTGTCATACAGATTTCAAAAAAAATTTTTGGTTGTAGACAACATATTTTTAAATAAAAGCAACCTGGTTGATTTTTACTAATAACATTTTCTTGTGGGATACTAACAGGAAAATCTTTGAAATTGTATTATCATATTGCAGAGCTTACTAAAAATCCTGCTGAGTTCTAACCATTGACCAAGGCAAGCAAATAGCATAGAAAAATAGGAAATCTTGTTATATTTTTAAAACAGCAATAGAGTCCCCTTGGCCAGGGGCTAGTTGGTTAGAACATTATCCTGATACACTAAGGTTGGGGGTTCGATCCCAGGTCAGGGCACATAACAAGAATCAGCCAATGAATACATAAATAATGGAACAACAAGCCGGTCTTTTCCTCTCTCCCTCTCAAATCAATAAATAAAAAATAAAAAATAAGCCAAAACCGGTTTGGCTCAGTGGATAGAGCGTCGGCCTGCGGACTGAAAGGTCCCAGGTTCGATTCCGGTCAAGGGCATGTACCTGGGTTGCGGGCATATCCCCAGTAGATGTGCAGGAGGCAGCTGATCAATGTTTCTCTCTCATCGATGTTTCTAGCTCTCTATCTCTCTCCCTTCCTCTCTGTAAAAAATCAATAAAAAATATATTTAAAAAAAATAAAAAATAAAAAATAAATAAAGCATACTTTTTTTTTTTAATCCTCACCTGAGGATATTTTTACATTTATTTTTAGAGAGAGTGGAAGAGAGAGGGAAAGACAGAAATAATGATGTGAGAGAAACACATCCATTGGTTGCCTCCTACACATGCCCTGACCAGGGCCCTGGCCGGGGAGGAGCCTGCAACCCAACTAAAGTACTACGTGCCCTTGACCAGAACTGAACCCTGGATCCTTTGGTCCATAGAGGACACTTTATTCACTGAGCCAAACCGGCTAGGGCGAGCCATGCTTTCTTTATTTGGGCTCTGCCCTTTTCTAATTCTAGGCTATTAAATCTAACTTCAGGAAAGAACAGTTGAATTAATAACTATTAAGTTGAGGTTTGCTTCTAGTCACAACTAACATGTTGAATATATGACATTTAAAATAAAAAATTAGCCTGGCCAGCATGGCTCAGTGGTTGAGCATCGACCTATGAACCAGGAGGTCACAGTTCGATTCCAGGTCAGGGCACATGTCCGGATTGCAGGCTTAATTCCCAGTGTGGAGCGTGCAGGATGCAGCCAATAAATGATTCTCTCTCATCGTTAATGTTTCTGTCTCTCTCTTCCTCTCTGAAATCAATAAAAAAATATTTTTTAAAAAAAGGACAAGATAAAGAACAGTTCCATAACCACAGGATCACTCATGCTGTGTTTTAAAACAAAAACAAAAACAGCCCTCGCTGGTTTGGCTCAATGGCTAGAGCGTCGGCCTGTGGACAGAGGGGACCCCGGTTTGATTCCGGTCAAGAGCACATGCCTGGGTTGTAGGCTTGATCCCCAATACGGTGTGTGCAGGAGGCAGCCAGTCAATGATCAGTGATTCTCATCATTGATGTTTCTATTTCTCCCTTCCTCTCTCTGAAATCAATAAAAATATATTATAAAAATAAACAAAACAGCCGAAACCGGTTTGGCTCAGTGGATAGAGCGTCGGCCTGCGGACTGAAGGGTCCCGGGTTCGATTCCGGTCAGGGGCATGTGCCTGGGTTGCGGGCACATCCCCAGTGGGAGGTGTGCAGGAGGCAGCTGATCGATGTTTCTCTCTCATTGATGTTTCTAACTCTCTCTCTCCCTTCCTCTCTGTATAAAAATCAATAAAATATATTTAAAAAAAATAAAAATAAAAATAAACAAAACATATCCCTGGGTGAAGATTCAAAAATAATAATAATAGCCCTGGCCAGTTTGGCTCACTGGACAGAATGTTGGCCTGTGGACTGAAAGGGCCCTGGTTCGATTCCAGTCAAGGACATGTACCTTGGTTTCATGCTCCATCTATGGCCCTGATCGGGCCATATGGGAGGCACCCAATCGATGTATCTCACTTCAGTGTCTCTCTCTGTCTCTCCCCTTCCACTCTCCCTGAAAATCAATGGAAAAATATCCTCGGGTGAGGATTAACAATAATGATATTAAAAAAATAAGAGAGCTTTACATTCCAGAATTTAAAACAAAGACCCTTGAAAGTGTTTCAACTTTAAACGTACTACAAGTGTATGAAAAATAAAGGCAAGGGGAATACAAACTTTAAGTAAAACAAGTTACTTAAAAGCTTCAATATTAAATATTTTTACTTTTGGATTGTATCTACAGTTTTAAAATCCAGTACTATCTTTTTACATTCAATAGCTGTTGACTCTATGACATTTAATAAGAAGGTAAATGTGACAGTCTAAATTTACCAGACTGTAAATATATCAAATACTGAATACTGAAGTTATAGCTCTGTACTTACTGTTACATTGACAAATCAAGTCTTCATTTCTCTCTACCTTTTCAAGATTGGACTCACCAAGTCCTTCTGGATATTTTTGTGTGATTAGAATTGTTATTATGAATTTTCCAATGATTTAATCCAACTGTCTCCTGACAGATGATTTGCCCAGGATGAGATTCAAGTGCCCATACTGCACGCATGTGGTGAAGCGGAAAGCCGACCTAAAGCGCCACCTTCGTTGTCACACAGGAGAACGGCCCTACCCATGTCAAGCTTGTGGGAAGAGATTTAGCAGGCTGGACCACCTAAGTAGCCATTTTCGAACAGTATGTATTTGATTTTTCATTCAAATTTTACTTCTTAAATAGATGCAATTAGGATAATCAATTTATGATGGAAATCTTTTCTCACAACTCTACCATAGTAACATTTTTTCTAACGTAATGCTTTTACTTTGCACATAATGCATAATTCAATTTTTATGTTTTTCTTTTTATTCTTTGAGACCTTGAAGTCAGTGATATTCTTTTGAATATTCACTTTAATGCATTTAAAATCTAACAGGTTTTTATAGACTGTTAAATGTCTGGGTCAGAATCACTTTAGATCCTCAGCATCGAATGGTGACTCTTGAATCCTTATCTGGTAGAGTTTCTAGTTTCAGCTGTCGGGTATCTCTGCATGACACTGCCTTTCTAGCGTCCCTCTAGTTTCTTTAGTCTCCTCAGGGAAGGCAGCAAGGGGGGCAGTAGAACCACTCCCAGTCGAGGACTGGATTGTCAGAGTCCGAAAAATCTCAGGGAATTTGCTGGTCAATGCTCTAGTGGTTTAATACTGTAGTAACATTGGAACATTGTTCTGCTGATGATCTTGCAATAAGAATTTTTTCCAAAATCTGCTCTATTACTTGTACTTCAATTCCATTGATGAGATCCTTTTAATTTTAAAGGACACTGGGTACCTTAAAGTAATTTCTTCATGCATTGCTTTATGGTTATTTATTCAACAAATATACCTGAGCACCTATTATGTGTCAGACCCTTTTCTAAATGTTGGTATACAGCAGTGAGCAAAACGGACAAAATGTCTGCCTTTATTAATCTCATGAAGCTAACATCCGAACTAAGATATGTAATATCATCATAGTAGTACATGGCATATATTAAGTATTTGCAATTATTATTATTCTGAAAAGGTGTCCTGTATTATCTCAGATATCAAAATACTATTGGATTAATACTGTTGGCCATTATTTAGAGAAAACTGGTGTGTAATATTTCAGTGACGTCAATTTATCACCAAAATCTTTGTCTTTTTCTAATAACTAGATGCTATTTTTTTTTAATTTAAAGGTCGTTGAGATTTAACTTTTTAAGTACATTTTTAAAAAATTGATTTTAGAGAGGAAGGGAGAGGGAGAGAGAGAGAAACATCAATGATGAAAGAGAATCATTGATTGGCTAACTTCTGCATGCCCTCCACTGGGGATAGAGCCTGCAACCGGGGCATGTGCCCTTGACCTGAATTGAACCCGGGACTTTTCAGTTTGCAGGTCAACACACTTCAGTGGAAGTCTCAACCTTCCTAATGCCGTGACCCTTTAATACAGTTCCTCATGTTGTGGTGACCCCCCAACCATAAAATTATTTTCGTTGCTACTTCATAACTGTAATTTTGCTACTGTTATGAATCGTAATGTAAATATCTGATATGCAGGATGTATTTTCATTGTTCGTGACCCACAGGTTGAGAACCGCTGCACTAGATGCTAACTTAATAGGCTTTGAACATCTTAAGTTTATGAACTGATGCCTAGAATATCAAATTGTCCTGCTTTTAAAAATCCTTTTTTATCACTATTTAAATCTCTACACAGATTCACCAGGCATGCAAACTAATCTGCAGAAAATGCAAACGTCATGTGACTGATCTAACAGGTCAAGTGGTCCAGGAGGGAACCCGGCGCTACAGACTCTGTAATGAGTGCCTTGCTGAAGTTGGCATAGACAGCCTCCCCATTGATCTGGAAGCTGAACAGCATCTTATGTCCCCATCAGATGGCGATAAGGATTCCAGGTGGCATCTGAGTGAAGAAGAGAATAGATCATATGTGGAGATTGTAGAGGATGGGTCTGCCGATCTGGTCATACAACAAGTTGATGATAGTGAAGAAGAGGAAGAAAAGGAAATAAAGCCCAACATTAGGTAGCTGTAATGTGCACCAACAGAGCTGGCATGTCTGCAACTTACGTCGACTTCCTGTATCTCTCTCTTTTCCATGGTCAGAGACTGATTAACAAATTGTCAGACTGACTTAAAAGTAATGGCCTACTATAACTTGCATGCTTTCTGAACAGGCCATTGTATCCATTCTGAACTTTGTTGCCCTGAAACATGTTGCTGCACTGGAAAGAAAGACTTAGCTTGAGTTGGCATGATAGATGAACAGTTAATTGTCTTTCTTTTATTACAGAGATGCCTTTTTTCTTTTAATATTGGAAGATCTACTTAGTAAACGTTTTTCAAATAAAATATTTTTTAAAATATTTTTATTGGTTTCAGAGAGGAAGGGAAAGGGAGAGATAGAAACATCAATGATGAGAGAGAACTATTTATCAGCTGCCTCCCGCACGCCCCACACTGGGGACCGAGCCTGCAACCCAGGCGTGTACCTTGACCGGGAATTGAACCGTGACCTCCTGGTCATAGGTCAGCGCTCAACCACTGAGCCATGCTGGCTGGGCTCAAAGAAAATATTTTAAATAAATTCACCACAACCAAACTTCATGTAAGGTAATTTTAAGGTGTTTCAAAAACATAAACTATTGAGTTTTCATAGGGAACCAAGTAAAGCACATTTAAGAGTCAGGCACCCAAACCTGACTGAACTAATGTTATTCTATTAACTTAAGGTCCACACCAACCTATCATTCCGATATCCTAAATGATTTAGGATTGTGGCAGAAGACAAATCTAAAATGTTTGAAATCGTTCATATTTGAACTTTTTGCCATTAAGTTAAAAAATTACTCATGCAGTTAGTAGTATTAAGAAAAGCAAAAACAGTAAAGTAGAGGCTGACCAGAGATTATATACAGATACCATTTTCTTAAAGCAGGAAACTAATGATGCCTAAAAGTCAAGGTAGTTTGTGAAGATGTGTCAATATAGTTCTCTTCCCCCCTAAAGAAAAAAACACAGGAACACTGGAGGTCCCTGCCAGTTCTTAAGAGCAGTTTCTAACATTTATGTACTGCTTGCTATATTTTTTATAAAGTGCTATTTCACACATTTTCTCACCTAATCATCGAGATAAATACTGTCTTTGATTTACAAATGAGGAAATTAAGGTCAGAAAGTTTATGTGGTGGGACTGGTGACTGGACTGGTGATTTTAAACAGTCCTCTTTCAGCCTTTTCTCCTCATACTGTCCCCTGAAATGGTGAAGAAATGAAGTTCACCAGTCTGCTGTAGTTATAAAAGAAGCCTATCAAAATTAGAAAGTATGACAAAGAGGAATTTAATCATCTTCAACATGTTTTGAACTAGTTATTCATATAGTGCTAAGTAATGTCCCTACAGTATCTACTGACATGTTTTATGTCGTTATTTATATGTAAATTTTTTATATAAAATGATTTGAAGAAGTTATTACCTTAAACACTTTAAGCATTTTTGCTTATCCTGTGTATATACTTTTTCAGAACAAACTATTCTCATAGGATACAAAGTTAATTTTAAACTCTTCCCCTGTGTGACTTATGGAACATTCCAAAATTACAGGTAAATTGAAGAAGCATTATTTTACTTTACTTCTAAAGATAAAATTTATATACCAGAAGTAAAGAACTGACCTCCATAAAGGTCTCTGCAAGTTATCACAATAAAGCTTGATATAACTGAATTTTGATAGAGGCTCCATGTATTATACTGTATTTTTATTTCAATTCTCACCTGAGGACATGCTTAGAGAGAGGAAGAAGGTGGGGGGGGGGGGGAGGAAGGGGGAGAGAGAGAGAGAGAGAGAAAGAGAAACATCGATGTAAGAGAGAAACATTGATTAGTTGCCTTCTGTACATGGCCTGACCAGGGATCAAAGCTGTGACCCAGGTATGTGCCCTGACTGGGAATCGAACTGGCAACCTTTCAGTGCACAGGATGATGCTCAACCAACTGAGCCACTCCAACTGGGCCATTATACTGTATTTTTAAATACAGCCTGACATACCTCAAGATGATACTTTTTGTTATTTTTTAAATTTAATTAATGATTGTCCTTGATGCCAATTTGTGGGCTAAAATGATTAATTTCTAAAAAATTTGTATTAAGTAGATGAATAACTTTTTTTTTTTTTTTTAATGGTACTTAATTCTGAGACTTTTTCAAGATTCCTCTGATGGTAAATTTCCAGTTGCTTCAAGACTGGATAGTGTGCATTGAGTTCATTGTTCTCCCAACATGACTGTTCCTGAATCAGGAGTCATCAGGATCCCAGTGAGGGAGGGAACAGTTGTCACTCTCTAGTTGTCACTCACCAGCTAGTGGTTACAGCTTTCCAAATTATAATCTGATTTTTAGTTATTGGAGCCAATAGGAAAAATTACTGATTTGAGCTTTATTCATAGAAATGAAGGAGTGCTTGCATGTATATACTCTAACGCACTTTATGATCTAAATGTTCTTTTATGCTATTGTCTTCTGCATGCAAACTTTACATACAGCAGCATGAATGTCAGGGAGGTCCGCTGAACCCAGTGCCACCAGCACTGTAGAGCCTTATCAGAAATAATGCTTTCTTTTTTTTTTTTTTAAATATATTCTATTGATTTTTTACAGAGAGGAAGGGAGAGAGACAGAGAGTCAGAAACATCGATGAGAGAGAAACACCGATCAGCTGCCTCCCGCACATCTCCCACTGGGGATGTGCCCGCAACCCAGGCACATGCCCCCGACCGGAATCGAACCTGGGACCTCTCAGTCCACAGACCGACGCTCTATCCACTGAGCCAAACCGGTTTCGGCATAAGAAATAATGCTTTCTTACAATTGTTTATAACAAGCATCAATCCTAACAAAACAGCTACCAAATTCACCAAACTACACAGCCTATCTGTTCTATCGTTTTAGTATTGTAAAAGAACGTTCCTGACATGTTTGCAAGTTGTAAATAATATTCCAGTTATCATATGTATTTAAGACTTTAGAGACCAATTCTTTTCTAGAGTGAAACTATTTATTGGTTTCTGAGAAAACTAAATTCTTTGGCTTTTAAATGTGGGAAAATGTTACATAATGGTATAATCTGTTAATATAAGCTTTATTTATGCCAATGACTTTTTTTTAATATTTGGAAAATAATGGGAATTGGTTAGACCAGTTTGCTTTTGCAGGAATGCTGTTTATCAGCTTCTGAACATCCTTCTAACTCTATGGTCCTTACGAGTGTCTTGTTGACGGGATGAAGTTTTGCAAAAATAAAGCACCACTGCAGTCGTGCCTACTGTCTGGAGGGAAGCAAAATAGACTAGATCAATGTTTTAAAAGATATTTTTTTCACCCAAGATAACAATTTCTTCTGAGTTGTTCCATAGAGAAGGCAACATTTAAGGAAGAAACTCTAAAATCAGAGCTGCTCTGGGTAAAGTCCCTTACAAGCCTTTCCCTAGGCCCCTTGGTAGAGCTCAGTACAGTATTAAAAACCTTGGAGCTAGGTAACTCTTCATTTCTCTTTAAGCATTAGTCTCACTTTATTACTCCTATTACTCACTGCACTTATATGCTGACAACCATAGGTTCTCTTATGGCAGCATATCATCCTTATTATACAGAAGTCAATTCATTGAAGTTATTTTGCCAAGTCATGCAATGATATCTTGACATTTCCATTCGTAGTATATATATTTTTGAGTCCTAAAATTAATACTGTGGAAAATCCCTAAAAACAGTACAGCATAAGTAGATGTATTTAACTGGGAAGGGTGGTAATAATAGGTACTGGAGGACCAAAATTTAGATTATAAATGGAAAGTTGTTATTTTATATTAGAGTGAATCAGTATTACTATTTATCATTTATATAGCATTTTATATTTGCAAAGTATTTAATAATTTTTGTTATTCTTTACATATCTATGAAATAGGACAGTTATCCCACATGAAAGGTAAGGAAATTAAGACACAGAAATTAAGCAGCCTACCTAAGACAACCCAGTGAGACTGGAATTAGAATGATCCAATTTTTGAATCCTGGAATATCAGCTTAATTCACTGAGAGGTGTTGTTCATTACTCTATTTTATAAGATGACTTTATACAAGTAACAGCCAATTGTTTTAAAGCTGACATCATTATATGTGGATAAATCCTATACAGAATAAATATTATGTAAAGTATGTGACTTTAGCTACAAGAGTTTTATTTTTAATTTATTTATTGAGAGAGATGAATGGAGAAACACTGATTTGTTGTTCTACTTATTTATGCATCCACTGGTTGATTCTTTATGTGCCCTGGTTGGGGATTGAACCCAAAACCTTGGTTCAGCATCGGGATGCTGTTTTACCCAACTGGGGAGGGCACTTACAAGAGTTTTAATGATAAAATTCAGGATATCACAGAAATGATACTGTTTAGTCAGTTTCTTTATATCTTGTGTGAAATTATAATTAGTCTTATTTTGATACAGTTTAACTATTCATACAAATGAAGCCACAAATATACTAAGAAAAATGGAAAACTTCATTCTCTAACATGTCAGTCTTTTCCCTACAGAACTTGTATTAATGCCAACAAAAAGTCAAATATGTTAAGCAATAAACCACACACAAAAGCAAGGGAAAGTTCAAAGAAGGTACATAAATAACCAGAAGCCTGTTCCTTTTCTGTTTAAGGTGCTTGCTACTTAAAAGTTGTGCTACATGTACTCACTAAGAAACCTTCTGCAGCAATGTATCCATAAATTTAAAATTCTAAGTACTACACAGAAACAGGGGATCCAGTATAGTAGGGATCAAGCAAGTGGGATAGGTCCAAATAGCTTCCAAGAAGTGAGTTTCCAGTTATGTTGAAAAAGGACAAGATCGCCAACTGAGAATCTGGGTAAAGACAGATGACTAGTTAGTGGCTGCCCCCTAGAGTTTGGAAGGATGGGAGAGATGACTGCTTAATAGTGGGTTTCTTTTTAGAAGAAAGAATGTTCTAAAATTGATTGTGGTGATGGTTGTATAACCAAGAAAACTAAAATCCACCAAATTGTACTTTAAATGGGATAATTATATGGTATGTGAATTATATCAATAAAATTGTTACAAAAACAAGAGAAAATCTGGGCAAAAATTCAAAAGTAGGAACTGATGAGTTACATGGTCTTTGCTGGTGCATGTGGGTGGGCTGCACTGGTAGAGAGATCAGGAGAGGTCATGGGGACAGTGATAAAGGCAGAAACAAAGCTGCCCGATAATTTGCTCATATTTCTTCTCAATCTGATACAGCCCTTGAATGTTTCACACCATGGGTTACACAGAATCAGTTAG